CCCCAAATGCACAAAGCCCCCAGAGCACACGAGGCTATGCTTGGTAAGATTGCAAAAATCATATGTACCAATACATATGCAAATTTGTTCATTAGACCAAAATACAAATTCGGCTCATGTTTGTACTCTCAATTACATTGTTGTTGTTTGGATGAAAGGAGTGCTAAGTGACAAGACAAACTTATTGTTGTTTGTTTGCTTGTCTTATTGGCTAAAATAGACAAAATGGCAATACAAAGGATTACAAGACCATTTCTCTGAACTATCAGAACCAAGCTTATACATTAGTAAACCATGAGCTGTACAATCTAAAACTGTATACACAAAAACAAGAAAAGAAAGGAGATTGATCCCTAACATCTCACAAGACTATGAGATCATCGATGATGGGTTTAATCCCCATGAACGATGATGGGTATAATCCACCATGAAGAGCAAGTACAACTATCATGCATCAAATTCATCAATTAAGACCAAGGTTTTAAAAAACGGGTTGGACACGGAACCGTTTTTGGGACCAGTTCCCGAGTTGAATGAATGGCCCATTCTAATTTAAAAAATAAAAAATGGTCAAAAAAGCATTGTTTAGATCAACAGTTCAACAGTTTAATCACCTGAGTCAATCATTCATTGACTAAATTAACAGTTTTTGGCCCAATATCGATTTTAGGGTGAAACGGAACCAGTTATCTGACTGCTTCTCAAATCAACTGATCGGACCGTTAAGTCCAGTCCAATTTCCAAAACCATGCTTAAGACAATCAATCGCCTTAGAGATAGTTTGTCCTACAATCTTTGCCGCATGTTGAACTGCCACCAACATCTCAACCATCGATCTCACATTGCAACCACTCTTTAGAGTCGTAGCCACCATTAATAGGACTTAACCACAACCACAACGATCCATGGCATTTGATGGCAACACAGGCTGCTGTCGTTTGAGGCACCCTTATCCGAAGTATGGGTGTCAATGGATCTGTTTTGGAATGGACCCCGTTCAAATTAAAATCAATTAGAGCGGATTGGATGGATCAATAAGATATTAAATTGGACCAGTATAGAGTTAATGGTCCAAAATACTTGTTGGACTGGATTGGACCTGGTCCATCCGTAATGAATTTATATTGGATTGAGTCAGTTTCTGGTCCATTGACGGAAGATAAAAATATGTGTCAATGAACCAGGTTTGGATTAATCTAAATTAAAACAAATTAAAACAGATTGAATGATTCAGACATTAAATTGGACTGATCCAAAATGGTCTAAAATATTCATTAGATTGTATTGGACTTCATCCAGTCCAATTGACACCCCTAATTGGAAGAATTAGGGCTGTTTACGGGTCGGGTTGGGTCGGTTTACTGCGGTTTTTCCAACCGACCCGACTTGGTCGGGTTACCTGACATAGAAACCGAAACTGACCCAATGTTAAGCAAAACCGACCTGGTCGGTTTGAGTCGGGTTGGGTCGGTTTCGGTTCTAAGTTCATCCCTGTGATAAAATCTTGCTAATTTTAAAAACAGTCATAAATTGAACATCATTTCAGTAATCTCCTATGATAAAATTTAAATGAAAAGTCAATCACAAAAATTGTTCATTAATCACTATTCACTAATCCAAAGTTTCTTGCAACCATTTAAAAACTAAGTGGCCTAATGAGCTTTGAAACTTCATGTTTGAACTAGGAACTAAGTCGGTTCAGTTCGGGTCGGTTTCAGTTTTCTTGTGTGAAAACCGAAACCGACCCAAATCATCAGTTTAAGAATTTGCACAACCCGAAACCGACCCGTGCTGATGAAAACCCAGTCGACTCGGGTTGGATCGGTTCGGGTTGGTCAGTTTGGTCGGGTTGGGCCTTCTTATGAACAGCCCTAGGAAGAATGAGGCCTTTCTTATCTGAGATTTGCAACCTTACAACAAAAAATGTAGGTTGATCAGAACAATATGCATCTAAAAAGAATCCCTAGTTGCAGTTGTATGTACTTATGTGTAGGTCATTGCATGCCATGGATGACGGGATGGAATATCATCGGTGACCATTGAGGGAAGACAAAGATAGCAATGACCATGGTTTTCAAAACCGGACTGGACTGGATGGTCGGACCAGAAAAACCAGGAATGACTGGTTTCACTTTTCCCCAAAATCACTTTTTTCCTCAAAACCGTTGATTTTGGTCAGCAAACCGCTAAACCGGCAGGTTAACCATTTGAACGGTTTTGACCATTTTTTAGTTTTTTAATTTTTTTTTGTCAGAACAAGTCGACCATTCGGGTCGAATGGTCAGACCATTTGAACCGGTAACCGGATCCTTGATCGGTTCAATCACCGGTTTGGTTTTAAAAACCATGGCAATGACTAAGCGTTGATGGAAGCTTGCACAACTGACCAGAATATAGCAAGTGTCCTTTTTATTTACATAAACCATCGAAGAACTAGAAAAAATGATTGCTTCCATTTTTCTGAATCAAACTTTCTATTTTTTTTATTATTATTACGATACAAAGTTTCCTGAATGGGTGGGTTATGAAAGGGTTTTGTAAATTATAGACGTTACCTGTCTCCCTAAACCTCCCAATCCAAATCTGCCTCAAAACCCGCTATAGGTTGGATTTGGAGAATCCAAATCCTTTCTACACATGAAAATGTAAAACCCTCCACGACTATACCATCTATGCATTCAAGGGTAGGAGTGGCTTGGGTTTAATTAGAATCCACATCTAACTTTCCATTATTTCTGGAATAAATAAAATAATACAAATAAACAATAAAATTTTCAATAATTTGATTAAGACATATAAAAAATACATAAACTATCAATTACACTTCACATAAATTTTAAAATATTATTAATTTCAATACCTAATATATAAAGTTCGTATGCTTTCTAACAATATGCAGAGGATTGGGTTTTGCCTAATACCGTATCCTACCTGTACCCATACGGGTTGTAAAATCCCAAAACCCATCACTGCCCTTCAAAAAAAACCTGCCCCCAGTAGGGTAGAAATTGCCATCTCTATCCATATATAAAGAGACACTGGATCGAATGACCATCTCAACTATTGGATCATCAGCCAAAACCCCAATTTTAGGGCTGCAACCAGGGTTGGGTTGAAGTTAGCATTTTACATTGCTTTGGGCTTTGATATTGAGGCCAGGCCCATTCAAATTTTGAGAAAAATCCAACTTGATACTGCCGAATTTGCACCCGTACCCAATTTTAGGCTTTATGCTTTGGGGGTTTAAAGTGTATTAACTTTAAATTAAATTTTTAAAAGCAACTCTTACCAAGTGCTTAAACTAATATTTTTTATGACTCGATTTTGTTTCTCAAAGCCCAAACACAAAAGCTTATTATCCAAAGACAATCGTTAGTTATGCTTTCGCTGAGAGGTAAATTTCTTCTATCAAACGACACATTGTTTTGGTCACTCTAATACATAAAAAAAAAAGACTTCCATTACCAACACATTTTTAAAAACAGTTCGTAAATTATCCTCCTATTATTTCTTTCATGGGCGGAGTCAGTAATTTCTTTTGGGTGGCCGAAACCTCACATGGTTATTGATGGAACATAATGTCCGTGTCCAGTAGCTGATTTCAAGAGGCTGTTTGGCACTGTGGCCATTTATTAAATAAGCATGTATGGAGTTTATCTTGAAAAATGAGAAAAAGTGGTTGTACAGTATTTTTTGACAGCTGAACCGTAAAAAAAGCATATTGGTATTGGTGGAAATATTAAAATAAAATTTCTCTAAATGATTGGTTTTTACATAAACATTAAAATAAAGCTTCTCCCAACAATTTATCAAATAGCATTTCAGAATAAATGACTGTAACAATCAGCTGACATTGTTTTTCAAATAAACAATAATAGAACCAAACACTATCCAAATAGTTGGAATTCAAGATTGAGTCTAATTGAATTGATGGTTCCCCTTCCACCATCTAGGTTCAAGGTGTTGTTAGGTTCTGATGTTGGTCAGTAACCTGAAAGATTGGTATTTTTTTTCAACCAGATTAAAAAACGCCAATACGCCTAGCTGTTGCAGACTTGCAGGGTCCATCAAGTGGCCAGAAATTGTGTTGGTTCAGACCCTCACGAATGCATCAATCAAAATGTGCTTGGACAATCAATTCTATAATAAAGCCTTATCTTGGTCAATTGCATGGTTTGGACTTTGGACTTTGGACTGGGCAAGAAACTAGTTGAATTCAAGTTCACTTTAGGACTATTGGCCTGTGGAAATACATTATATCACTTCAATTTAAGACTTTCTTATGCATAGGACAGGAGACAGAGTCCAATCTGCTACACTTTTCCCCTGCACTTACTGCACTAACCAATCAGTACTGTACAGTATGGCAGGTGTTCATGACTGTAAAGCTCAGTTAATCTCACATGCACAGATCTTTAAGCATGTGCAATGGAACACTTGTACACATTGATTGCTTACTGCAACAAGTGCAGGGAAAAAAGTACAGTAGCTCCCCACTCTAGGCCACATGGCTTTCTTATCCAATATGATATCCATTGCTTTTCCATGTATAAGGGCCGACATGGTGGTCAAACTCCAAAACTCAGTGTTGCTAAAAGTTATTTCTGAAATCATGATCTGTTTGGGGTTCTCACCATATGAGGAATTTGGGTTTGATATTTGAGTATGGTTCTGTTGTCTGTAAAAGAAGAACTGGTTGGGTTAGTCTGATCTGCACCTTGTTCAGCACTGTAGGCTTGCAAGTATGCACTGTGAGGGGGTCAGTAATACACTGATGTGAGGCAGCAATGGCTAACAGAAGCGAATGTTTTCCTCTATCTCCTCTTATTTCTATGAGAATGGAATTCCCTGAACTCTGATAGCCTGTTAATGTGATTCTCAAGGGGTAATAGAGAACCGTTTCAGAACCAGTTACCATCACAATTGGTATCATATTTTCATAAATTTAATAGCTATTCTGCTTCAAGGAGGGATAACTGTTAAGGACTAAGAGAAAAACAATTAATATTCTTTGATACCAACAAATGCAATCAGCCTTCAGAGTTTGTTCTACCCACTCCACCCAGAGAAAAGAAAATAAAAGAAAGGCAATGAAGACTACCCAACATAGTATACATATTTCACAAATATTTGAAAAGAAACAAACAACCCAGAATTGATGAAAGCTTGAAATGGTTTGGTACATCAGGATTTCAGAATCTTCTTATATCACAATTCACAGATTCAGAGCCTAAGCAGATGAAATTCCCAATAAAAAATGGAGTCAATTCTGGGAGTTCTATCACCTTTGGGTGGATCTCTCTCACTCTCTGTCATCAAAGCCAGATGACTCACAATTGCAGTTACATTTATGATTTACCCAAAAAAAATAAATTAGTAATAAAGACTCAGGAAGGAGGAGAATACTCATGCTCAAGTGTGGGTTGCGTTCTCGTCACGGCTGCTGTGGGAGCTCTCACATGTCCGACCATCGATATTTGCAGAGCTTCCTCTTCATAGGCTCTTCTCTCCATCTCTGCCATTCGAGACTTCTTCTTTGCTTTAACAACCATAGCAATGATGAGCAAGCTTAGAAGGAACGCACCCAACGCACCTCCAACCAAACTCCCAACAACCACCTTCCATCGGCTAACCTTCCTTCGCATCTGGGGGAACGATGGCACGACCACCAGACCAAAGTGGCCATGCTGTGATGCAACACAGACATTGGAAGATACCTGATTCGACAGGCTGACCTTTCCTTGTGAATCAAAACTAGCACAAAGAGGCCTGAGACCTCTGGTGTCGATTCTCGCAACCTTGGAGAAATCGATGGTTATGGGTCTTTTCCCAGCAAAAATTCCGATCTCAGACCGGTTTGAAGTATTAAAATCAGCAAAATTGTATGCCAGAAGGCCTAAAATAGGGGAAACAAGCTGATACCCAGAAAAATTGTAATTGCTGTAATAGATAGAAGACCAATTGGTACCCAAGTTCTGTCGAACCACTACAACTCTCTCCACGCAAGGATCAATTGTAACGCCCATCGCTAAACGGAATTCCTTAACCTGCGCTCCATACCTTCGAAGACTGCCACACCTGAATCTCACTGTATCAGCTCCAATGCCGGATAAGTTTGCCGGCAGACGTACATTGTACAAAAATCCAGTCTTGGGGCGCGCTGTGTAGGACTGGAAAGCATAGTCTCTGACTACATAATCAAGAAGACGAGCGGAGTCTATTGCCTGAGCATTGGCATACCATGACAATTGCAGAAGTAAAATCACTGCATTGAATGGGAGAAAGATAGAGACAGAGATGAGACAGCCCATGTGAGGAAATAAGCGACTGATGAATTGAAATTGAGGATGAGCAAGTTAAGATACTAGAACATTGCTTGCTCTTCTTCTCTGTAGCTGTACCTGTGTGAACTCTGTGATCCTGTGGAGCTCAAAATCAAACTTTTCAAACCCAGGAGAGGTCGCAAACAGGAAAAGCTAACTGTTTATAGAACTCCTCCTTTAAGCCAGAGGAGAGATCAGTGTCTTGGATGAAACAGTTGTACACTGGAAAGGAAAGAAAAGAAAGGAAATTAGTTGTGATTTTGTTTTCTAATAGTGTGAAGTTGGAGAAAAGAATATAAGTTAGGTGGGTTATGGGAAGGAAGTTTAGATGAACACGCTGCGTGTTGTTTAAGATGGTAGTAATGAGTTGGAAGGAGCAAATTCCTTAACATCTGCATAACCCATTACCCACCATTAATCAATCCAAACTCCAAGCCATTCAAATAAATAGCTTGGATGGTGAAAAGCTATCAATATTGTAATTGTTTCTGTTTCAGTTTTATTGTTTGGTCTGGGACCAGCAGCTCTCCTTTTGTAAAGCAGAGAATGTGCAGAAAAGAGTTGGGTTTAGGTGTAAGTGTTGGGAGGGAAATGATTTGGAGGAGCATGAGAGGATGATGACATTGTGGCTGTAAAAAAATGAGAAAAGGCTGGCGTGCTTAGGAGACAGAAAAAGGCGTCGCCTCCCCTCTCTTCTCTTTGTTGTGTAGTACTCGGGTTTGTATTGATAACATGTCTCCCACTCCGAGTACCTTGTGGGTCGCATGTTAAGTTAATATGGTATCTAAAATTCCAAACTGTTTTGACTCAAACCCCACGTAGTGTTGACAATGCTAGAAGATTTGAGAACTCTTGTCAGCTCAGCTGACAAAAAAGAATTTAACGAAAAGGAAAAAGTTGAAGATCGATTAACTAGACCGTGCTTGTTGTAGGTTGGTTGGGCTCAATCCAAACCCGATCAGACTTGGCCAAAGTCCATGGTTTAAAGTATCCATACTTTTTGCCTCAAGATTTTTTTTCCTAGTTTTCTTTTTAAAATTTCAGTTTTATATATAGATATATTTTAATATTAATCAATAAAATGATTGGCTTCTTAAAAACATATAGGTGCATCGGAAATCCAAAGATGTGATACGATACGCCCAATATACATAATGAATAAAAAATAAATTCAATGGAAAAGAAACGACAAAACCACTTGGGCCTCATTTGTTTTATGGGAAGTAGGGGTGGATAAGTTGGTAGGCTTATGAAAAAGAAATAAATCCATTTTCGGTTTTCTGATATTAGTGAAAAAAAAACAGTTCCCAGTTCCCGAGTGACTCATTTACTTGGTCTCCTTAGAATTAGGTAAATTATTTATCCATGTGCATCAAAAATTGCTAATATATGATGAGACAATATTATCCCTCTAATAATGTCATTGTTTTGATAAATTGGTCGTTGTTCACCTTTACCTGGGAAATAAAAGAACATTGACAATTGCTCCAACTCCAAATATTTTCCAAAAACACTAGTCTGGATAAATGCATTTAGCCAAATAATTAAGTTATTTACCAAGATGAAAATGAGGCCTTGATATCTACCTTAAAATACTTGGGGTTGTTTGATAGCTCCTATAATATGGAGTATGGACAACTAAATTGAATGACTTGTTGTTTTGTTAGTGATGAGTTTTTCAAAGAGGTTTTGAGCGAGCTGCTCCTTAATATGGCTTAAGTTGAACTTGTTAGAAAATGGCACCTTATTAGAAAGTAGAAACACCTTAAATGCTTATGGCAATCTAATATTAGAGTACACTTAGGCTATGTTTGGAACCATTGTTGTTTCTTAATAAGCATTTCTTGAGAAAATGGTGCTGCATTGACATGCCATGTTTTTCAGAAAATGCTTTTTCTTTTTTCTATTTGGGACCATTGACGTTGTCGTCATATAGGTGTTTTTTGATGCCATGTCAAAATATTGTTTCTATAACAGTAAAAGATGAAAAATCACCAACAGGCCACACCTTTCCTGATTTTCAAAGTGTGGTTTGAGAAAACATTTTTCGGAAAAAAAAGAACACATAACCAAACATTAGACATTGTCTGAAAAAATGGATTTCAAATGTGGCATTTATGTGATACCGTTTTTCAAAAAAACATCAGTTCTAAACATCAGTTCACATAGTCATTGATGTAGTGGGAAGCATGTAATCCAGAAGAAGAAGAGAAAACTCCAAAGATTTGTATTCAATTCACCAAAATCATTCATATAAAATGGCCTATTTATAGGCAATTTCCAGCTTTTATGAAATACTAAGATTACTAAAAGTAGTCAAATTCCTAATATGTCTCAAATTTGCCAAACACATCATATTTTAATAAGGCTTCCTAAATAAACTTGGGTTCAAAATAAGCTAAAATGAGTAAGGTGGCATTTGATAATATTTTTCAAACATTTGAAGTTTAAAAACGTTGCTTTTCAGATGCCAGAGATGTTTGGAAGTATATCTGAATTTGGCTCTGAAATGAATTTTCAGATCTGATCTAATAAGACCCAGGCTAGCTAGGCACTGAACGTGGTCATACATGTTTCAAACTTGGCTGAAAGTCCAAAATATCATTGATGATTTGAACTAAGCATTTCTCCCTCTCCTACTGTTCATCTTCTCCACTTGATGCAACGGCAAACCAACGGCGGCAAGCGATTCCTCCAGCCTTCTCTTTCTCCCTCTCTTTTCGTCTTCTTCTTCTTCTTCCTCTCTAGTCCCGCAACTTCCACCTTCCTCTGTTTTTCGTTTTAGATCACCACTGCAACTCTCGGCATCGACAATCTATTTTCTCCTCTTTGTTTCTTTCTCTTTCTCTTCTTCCCCATTTTCTTTTTCTCCCTCCCCTATTACAGTGATGGTTACCAATGCTTCTTCAAGCCTTGGTCGTGATTTTTGCTTGGATCTCGCCAAGGCCAATTGCAAGGTCATGGCTGCTATGCGACGAAAAGATCGACTAAAGGGTTTGTCTCAGAAAGATCCTCATATGAGAATGATTCAAATCCTCCCAGCTAAGGTTCAGAATTTCGATACGTATCAAGCCGTATCGGTCGATACGTATCGTATCGGGGGCTTCCCGATACTTTCCTACAAGGGGTATTTTGGGGTTTAACCCAGTTTAGGGGTAGACAAGCCTTAAACCGACCCCTTTGAACCGGGTTTAAGAAAAACTAAAAAAAATATATATTAGGAGAAATGAGCCTCAATACAGGCCGATACGCCCCTACTGACGTATCGGCCGTATCGATATTTTGAACCTTGCTTCTAGTCTCAAAACTGTTGTCGTGAAACCTAGATTTGAACGCTAAAGGGCATGTTATTGAGGATCATTTTGCCAGATTTATGTTTGGAAGTGGAGGATTGATTTTCCACAATATATTATTTGTATTAAATATTATTTTAATTTGTATTAGTTATTGCATATTTTATTTTTTATTAATTATTAACTATTTTATTACTTTTTCATTGGAATTTACTCGTATTTTTCAAAATCATTTTGATTTTAATAAATTATTTTTATAATTTTTACCAAATAGTTTATTCTAGGGGTAAAATAGTAAAATTAGGAAATTTCAAAGGCTAAAGGTTTGATCAAACACAAAGGAATTCAGAATCTTTAAAAAGTAGAAAACTTTTTAGATTTCAAATACAAATAATATCTTTTTAAGTTTTTAGATTTCAGATTTATCAAACACCACCTAAGATGCATAACAGTAAATTTTTAGAAAAACACCCATTTCGAAGCAAAAATGATGGAATTTGTGTCTAGAAGATGTAAAAAATCATTGTCCTTTGAAATTTGAATGCCTATTTTGGTTTCTTTTCTTCTTTTCTTCCGATCACGGGTCTTCAAAAAACTTTCAGCCACTTATTCCACATCAGTCAGTCTTGCCTCTAACACTACTACTATTTGTATGGAGTTGATATAGATTAACTTGTCATAAAACCTTGCGAATGAACCACAAATACAAACTAAGCTTCTAGTAGCTTATTTATGGGTTTATGCCTACATCTGAAGTGTGCTAGGGTACCTTTAGTCATTGAGGACGAGTGGCCAGAGTCCAGAAATGCCCTCCGGCGGTCCGGCCACATCAGGCTCAATTCGGATTCTGATTGCATCCTCCCACTGTTGTTTTAGGATTTAGAAAATGCTGAATTAGGGTCATACTAATACCACAAGAGATCAACTCTCCTGGATGTTTTCATCACCTCTCTACTTGTGGACGTCTTTGGTTCAGTCACCATGAAAGGCAGATTCCACTGTTCCAGCAGAAGCTCAAGGTACAAGATTTCCCTTCATTTGAGTTTGATTTGGCTTCTAAGTTAGTGGTTGTGGACCCCTGCCCGCCTTCAAATTGAAAGCATACTGTCTTCTACCATAAAAAATAAAGTAGAATTGTAGAAAACCATCGACAATGAAAAAGACATCACAACCAAAGTGGCGTTTGTTAGTGTAATGGCCCAAAGTGCTTTGCTGGTTCAAAATTTCGATGCAATGTATGGCATTGTAGCTTTTCGTTTTTAATATGTTAATTAAACAGATTTAAAAAGAAACCTTCTTTTATGGTTAAATAGCATAAAAGGCCCACTTTTAAAATTTTGAAAAAATAGAAAAAAAAAATACACCCTTTTTGACGTATTGGGATGTATCGATGTTTTAAACTTTGGGTTAATCAATTCATCTTATAACTTAATGTAAAGACTATACATAATTGCATATATAGAAATAAAGGATAAAGATATAAATTGATATATATATATATATATATATATATATATATAATTAAATTTAACTTTTATTGAGTGTTTGGCCTATTTTTAAAAGGAGAGGTATAACTTGTCTTGTGTAAGCCCAAGTTTGGTAATTTACTAATTTTTGCTATGAATTTGGAGTAGTCATAGTAATATTAATATACTAATATGCATTATTCTTAACCCCAGGTTTGTTGGTTTGTCCCTAGTTCTTGCTGCTATTGTACATGGGATGTTGGTCAATGTGAACTCTGTATGAAGCAGCTGGCCCTATTTTTGGCGTTTTCTTGATGTTGGCACAAAAAGTAAGGCCGGTTGTTCGCTCCCAGTGTTCAGAGTTACTGCATTTGCTCAGCCATTATACCTGTCGCAAATATCAATGGAACATATAGACGAACAGTCCGCTATCAATGGGATGAAAGCCTTTTTCTTTACATAAAAAGAAATGAAAACTATGACAGCAAAATTAATTTTCTTAAATTTCCTTGTTTAATCAAATGCTTCGGTTTTCAGGCTCTGTTTGTAGTCCAAATCTCAAGTGGATAAAAATTTTGTTTGTAATTATGATTTATACTCCAATTTAATATAAAATTTATCTCCTACCTCAATTCTCTCTCATATATAAATTGAAGATTAGTATCTTGTATTTTGGGCCTAGTCTTATTTTGATACCTAATTTTTAAAATGTGTTAATTAATTCAGTATTTTAACCCCTCAAAACATCCCAATTTAGTTCAAAATCATTAACTGCCGTGGCATATGAAAAGATACAAATGTCCTTTGGGTGTCATCTAATTTTCTTTATCAACTATTCAAATGCCCAAT